TGAAATTTTGAGGTTTGGATCAAAGGGAACAAATGAAGGTTTTGAAGCAAGAAAACCAGTATCTTCAAGGAGTTCAAGAGTATATTTTCTTTGATTAAGAAAAATACCTGTTGTGGATCTTGCAATTTCAAGACCTAGGAAAAATCCGAGTTTTCTCAAATCTTTGATCTTGAATTGATGGTCCAAAAGTTGTTTGACAAGTTGAATCTCTTGAATAGAATCACTTTCTAATACTATATCATCAACACAGACAAGTAAAGCTATGAAACTATGCTTTGCAACTTTAGCATACAATGAGTGATCAACTTGAGATTGTTGAAAGCCAAGAGATGTTAAGAAGGAGGACAACTTGGAATACCACTGTCTACTAGCTTTTTTAAGCCCATATAAGGATTTATGAAGTTTGCAAACCTTATTAGGACTTGAGCAAGGGAGACCAGGTGGAATGGACATGTACACTTCTTCATGTAGGTCACCATAGAGAAAATCATTGTTGACATCTAATTGCTCAAGATGCTAGCCTTTAATAGCTGCAATAGAGAGTAAAACTCTTACTGTAATCAATGCCTTCCATTTGAGTATATCCCTTTGCCACTAGCCGTGCCTTGTATCTTTAAATGGAACCATCAGCCTTATACTTAACTTTGTAAACCTACCTACATCCAATGGTAGACTTCCCAGTTGGCAAATCAACCACAACCCAAGTTTGGGTTTTCTCAAGAGCATGTAATTCCACATCCATGGCTTGTTTCCAACAATCATACTTGATAGCTTGGTTGTAAGTCGTTGGCTCAGGATTTGAAGAAATAGAACAATAGAAATGTTTATAGGATGGAGAACATTTATCATAAGATATAAAAGATGAAAGAGGATATGCAACATGTGATTTTTGATGCTGAAAAGAAGAAATATTACAAGTATTATAACAATGATAATCTGACAAATATGATGGAGGATTTGAAACCTGAGTTGAATGTCTTAAAGGCATATGAGAGGGTACATTTTCCAAAGGATAAGAGATATTGGCAGAAGAGAGGGGATCAAAAAGATTATTCTGGCCATTGGATAAGGGTGTGGAAAGAGGTGTGGTAGATTGAACAAGTCTATCGGATAAAGGGGATATGTTAGTCTAGTTGTCATTAGGAAGGCTAAGCAGGTTTTATTGTACAGTTCGTAGAGAGGGCATGTATTCAGTGTATTATCAGTAGCAGGATTGCGACTACTGATAGGGGCATGGCTAAAGGGAACGGTACCATTAGTCATAAGACTGGTATAAAAAGTAGAAGGAGACTGTCCTTGGGAGCCAGAATTAAAGGATAAAGGTGAGTTAGGAGAGCTAGCAGTAGTAGGTATAGGCTGAATGTTATGTTCAGAGGTGTCATCATAGATAGGTGAGATTATAGGGTCAGGAGTGAGTTGGGAAGATGAGGACTTAGTGTGAAATGGAAACTAGGTTTCATAAAATACAATATTTCTTGAGACAAATATATTATGGTGTTGTAGGTCATATAGTATATAGCCCTTTATGCCATCTCTAAAGCCTAAAAACACACACTTTCTAGCTCTAGGATCAAACTTTGTCGTATGTGCTTGGATAGTAGTAGCAAAACTCGAACAACCAAACACTTTCAAGGGAACAAGGGAAGGTGGTTGAAGATATAAAAGTTCATAAGGGGATTTGGATTTAAGAAGGGGAGTAGGCAGTCTATTTATGATATGAGTTGCATGTTGAACACAGAAGTTCCACATATTGAGAGGGACTTAGGAGTGAAAAAATAGAGTTCTAGCTACATTTAAAATATGTTGATGTTTTCTCTCCATCACCTCATTTTGTTGGGGTGTTTCAACACATGATCTTTGGTGAATGATATCCTTTGACAAAAGAAATTCAGAGAGGGCCATGAATTCAGTACCATTGTCTGATCTAAGGAATTTTAACGAAGTGCTAAATTATGTTTCAATGTAAGAAACAAAGAATAAATTTTGTTTTAGTCTGATCTTTGGTTTGGAGAAATATTACCCAGGTATATCTAATGAAGTCATCAACAAGTGTTAAGAAATATTTGTGATCTAGAGTAGATATTGTGGAAAATGGCCCCCACAAATCAGCATGCAATATTTCAAATGGTGCAAAAGAATGAGTACTACTACGTGAAAAAGGAAGTTTCTTTTGTTTACCAAGGTGACAAGCAACATTATTATTTTGATAAGGAATAAAAGGAAACAATTTTGAAAAATTGTGTAAGCCTATATCAGAAATATGTCCTAGTCTGAGATGCCAAAGATTACAAGTATTTTAACAATAGAATGGAAGGCAGAAATATGTTTGGAGGAGTCAAGCACATATAGCCCTCTTTTCAAGTTAGTTATACTAATCATTTACTTGGAATGGTTCTGCATAATTTGGCAAGAATTAACATTGAATTGCACACTACAATGATTGGTGCATACAAGTTTAGCAAAGGAAAGCAAATTGACATGGAAATTTGGTATGTATAGAACATTATATAATGTCAAGAATGGTGAAATGACTATGTTGCCAGACTTTGATGTAGTAAGTGTGGTACCATTAGGAAAATCAACATGCACAGGAATAATGTTCTTATGAAAAGAAAAAAATATTGAGATCAAATGATATATGGTCAGTAGCACCTGTATCTAGAATCCAAAGGTGAGAATTCTTACCAATGTCATTTGAAGAATGAGAGTTTAGGACAAATGGGAAAGTGGAAATGGAATTAGCCTTGGGAGTGGTTTTGGACTGTTGGAGCAAGTCAAGGATGTGATGATACTGCTCTTGAGTGAAACCGAATGAGGATGATGCACATGAATTGGACTGAGAAGAATCAGGGCTAGCATTTATTGAGGCAGTAGATTGAGAAGAGGTCGATTTCATGTTCTTGCCCTTAAAACCTGGTGGATATCCATGCTTGATAAAACATGTCTCAACTATGTGGTTGATCCGGCCACATTGTGTGCATATGTGATTTTTCCCTTTTGCTCCACCAGTTCCTTGGGATTTTCCCTTGAAACCATGATATCCAGTTCTTGCAGTGGTAGCATTGGAAGTGTTATTAACCTGAAATACTGCAGCTTCTTCACCAGTATTGTCACTAGGCACAACAGGAAAAAAAAGAGTTACTCATTTCCCTTTCTTGTTGGATAACTAGAGAGAAAACTTTATCAATATCAGGTAATGGATTCATCATCATTATTTGGGACTTAGATTGGGCAAACTTTTCATTCAAGCCCTTGAGAAACCTAATAACATAGTTTTGCTCACGATATCGTTTATTTGAAGCAAGAGCACCACAAGAACATGGAATAGCACAAACACAAATAGGTAGTGGGCGATAATTTTCTAACTCGTCCCACATGAATTTCAATTGTGTAAAGTAGTTAGAAACATCAAGTGTACCTTGACGAAACTTGTAGAGATCTACCTGAATATCTGATATGCATAATATATCATTGTGTGAAAAATGAATCTTCAAATTCTGCCATACTCCTGCAACGCTATCGATCCATAAAACTGATTTTGCAATTAACTCTGAAACAGAACGCAAAATCTAAGCTAGAACATAGTATTACATCGAACCCAATATGCACACAACAAATCTGAGACAGAAGGCTTGGTGAGTGTTCCATCAATAAACTTTTCTTTATTCTTGGAGATAAGAGCTATGTGCATTGATCTCGACCAAGTGTAGTAGTTCTTGTCATCAAGAAGAGAAGAAACAAGAACAATTGCAGGATTTTCATTAGGGTGCAAATAGTAAGGATTCCTTGAGAAGTCAGTGTAGTTCTGGTATGCCATGGAAGAAGGAAAAACAAGAAACTGATTTCAAAGAAAAAAAGGGAAGATGAAGTTTGTAGAGAACTCGAATAAAATCATAGAAGAAGAGTTTTGCAATGCTTCAAGGAGAAGGGAAACAATGAGAAACAATGGCTACCAGAGTTATTTAAGCTCTGATATCATGTTAACAATGGTGAATTCAGGAAGAGAGTGTAACAGAACGTAACCAATTCCAACTTTCTTGGCAATGCAGTTAGAAGAAGAAGAGGAAAATATAATTATCATTGAATGAATAATGAACTGTTATATGTTAAAGGGATAGACTAAATCCTAGTTGTACACGTGTAAAATACAAAATACATTAAGTTACTATACCTATATAAGCTAATATATTGAATTGTTATTAAGTGATTTGAGCCTATCCACTGAGTTTGTTTAATTTATTTACTAAATTTTTAATATATATTCAAATTGGAAAAAATAATGAATACTTTATTTTAATATTATTGTTCTAGAAAATGCTCAAAATTACAATTGGGATAAAATAATTCGAACAGCCCAATAACCCGCCAAAACTGATTGAGTTTACCTATAAGACCATATAGAATCACCCGCACTTTAGGTTGGATGTGGTTTTTAGATCCAAAACCGCCAGACCCGTCCAGTTGTCACATACCCTTACTACTACAACACCCCTTCACTTTCAAAGTTGAAGACAATAGAAAAATTAAGTGTGAACACAGATAACAGTAAACGTCCCATCATAGTACGTGATGTACCCTGACATTAAAGATTCCCCCACAGTCATTCAATGAATACCAAATTCTCAATCATTCTTTCTTAATTATAGTGTAGATTTGAATATCTTTCAACTCATGAGTATTCACTCATTACGTGTGATTGAAAATTGTTGCTAAACAATTAATGTGCCTTTTCTTATTGTCCAATAAAATGCAACATTGCTGTAAGACATTAACATTGTTGCTGCTTCACTTTTTAGAGTAAACATTTTCTTTCAACTCAAATAAAATAAGTTTCACTTCACTAAACAAATACAAGAAGCATTACTGTTTCCAAAACAAATTCCATTACCAAAATTTTGGCAAGTTACAATAAAGACCTTCTAGTATATCATCACTAATAGATCATTTTTTTCCAGACACTGACACAGACATCAGACACGATTTTAAAAGTGCTGTATTGATCAACACCTCCTTTGGTTGGAGTAGTTTCTATCGAAATCAGCAGACTTATCTAACTTACTCATAACAGCATTCTTAAAATTAATAGCATCCTGAATCTGTGAACAAGATCTTTGCATTCTAACTCCACTCAAACTGTTTCTAGACTCCATGAGTTCATTCAATGTAAGCCTCTTTCTTGGAACCGGTTCGGGTCGTTGCTTTGGAGCACTATGAGACCTCAATTTGGCCTTAAAAGACTGTGTATTAGACATGTAATTAGGATAGTTACCATATTCACCAATGTAGAAACTATCTCCACAAATTGTTTTAGGTGTAGAAGGTGCCACGAATCCACAACTACATGAACTTGTGAAACGCGGAGTGCTTTGCGCGGTTGAAAATCTGCATTCTTCCCCTATTATTCCCCAATCTGATTCACTGAAATTTCTTTGGTTTGGAATGAATAACTGAGATGGGATACTTGGATGTGGAGATGAAAGTGCTTGAAATGACGGGTCATCGCCAAAATCGGAAATTGATGTGTTGCTTCTTCTTGACCTTGATTTCGGTCTTCCGGTATCAATTTCTACTATTTTGGGACTTCCTATATCATAACTGTTGTTGTTGCTGCTGCTGTTGCCGCTGACAGTAACATCAAAAGAAGATGATAATCTTCTACTGTGAATCGGAGTTGAAGATGTGTACTCATTCCTATTACTCTCATTGTGATTGTACCTTTCCTACAAAACATTGATTCAAAAATCATATAACAAACCAAACAAAAGACTATTGAAGGGACTGATACTATAATTATGTATGAGATCTGTAGATTTGTTTTACCGTGGATCTTCTTGCTTGTGTTTGAAATCTGTTATGCGTATCATTCTTCGTGTTCATGACGAGTCCTCGAGATTTATGAGACCTCACTGTTGCTTGTGCTCTAATCAGAGCTTGCATACTGTGAAGTGTTGCTGTTGCTTGCTTCCTCACTAAGTACCCTCTCACCAGTGCTTGTAACTTTACCAACCCCTTCAAAGCTCTAAGTGCTTTTCTCGCCTATTAAAGAGACCAAAAACTCGAAATCTTGAAACTTATTATACAAATTTAAGACCATCGAATTCGCATAATTAAAGGAAACTTACCAAGTAGCCTCTGAATGTGGTTTGAATCTTGACAGCAGCGAATTTCTGGTGTCCGTCACCAAACATGGTATCTCTGCCGTGGCTGGTTAGTCTAACAACAGCCACGGCAGCTTCAGCAGCTGCCACAGCAGCATCTGCAGCTGCTGCTGTGGCAGCTGCAACAGCAATGGCGTGCTTGTTTTGCTCCTTCTCAGATTCTGAGTAGAAGGATTGAACCCAAGCAGCTTCCGCTGGCGAAATGTTGGGTGGTATAGTAGCTGGATTATGACATAAACCTCTCGAATCTCTCTTTGAGAAAGTTTCAAGAGAAGAATTCCACTTAGTACTTGAAGAATTCAAATTCAAATTCGAATCTGAATTTGAATTATCTCTATCTTTCTTTATCCCAAACAAACTCTTGAACCACCTTATTGTTCTACCCATTTCAAGAATAATAGCACTGCAAGTTGAAGTGGAAATGAAAACCTACAAAGAAACAAGTCACAGTTTGTTTATCAAAGAACAAAAGAAAACAACCACCTCGTGAAAAACTACATTACATGACAAAAACACACCTCTGGAACATGGGGTGAAGCATGGAATATGTAAAAAAAAACAAGATTGTGACATAACACATGAAACTAACCATGTTAGTATTAAACAAATGCAACTTTTTTGTAGTAAAAAAAATCACCTTGATAGAATCAATCAAATACTCAAAAGAAAAAGCTCTTCAAAAGTTGTAAAAGAAAAAAAGCATAGAAAGTAAAACAACTAAAATTGTCCAATGAACTCTGAAAAGGAAGATTAAAAAGAAAACAAAAACAGCCCCACAGTAAAATTATCTGTCACTATAAGCAGTGACTTGTCCTTAAAAAAAAGATAAATTCCTGTGTCTTAAATCTCTGACACACTCGTGAATAGATAAATAAATAAATTAATTAATTAATTAATCATCCCTTTTAATCACTTATTGCAATGAGTTTATTCATTATATTTTCTCAGTTTATATAGCAATGTTTAATTTTCTCATAATGCATTTTTCTTTGATTTCTGAATTTAGTTGTTACTTTTATGCATTAAAGCTGGAGCAATAAAAATAGCTTTTTAGATGAGTTAATATTGTTCCTTTTTTCATCCTAACACCTACTACTACCTATGATGGATGCTCTCAGCCTGCACCTACTCTTCATCTTTTCTACTTCATTGTTTTTTTTACTCAATTATTTGTGTACTAATTTTAGGTATCCTTCTTGTTTTTACTGTCCTTTTTCTGAAACTTAAAATCAATCATGGCTTATAATGGGAAACATAGGGTCCTCATGTATATATAGTAGCTTATACATTTATATTGGGTCCTCATATGTCATATATATAGTAGCTTATACATTTATATATAATATATTAATAGTATTCATTAGAAAAGCAAAGTGAATCACAAGAAAATGTCATTTAAATTGAATTGGACCGGTTAAATTTATTATTAATTGAATCGAATTTGTTAAATATGTGTTTATAAATAAAGTCGATCTTCATCGTTCAAACACATTAAGTAAAGTTGAATTAAGTCTAACTACACATTTTTAAGAGAATTAAAATTATAAATTTAATATACCATCTTAAAATTTCAAATCATATCGGTTGTTAGCGGACAATTTTTTTCAAAACTGAACTGATATATTTTTTCTCGAACTTCTTTAATAAAAATTTTAAACCTATTTTTACTATTTTTCAATTTTAAATTTGATTCAATTCGATTTCACTTTTGATTCAGTCTTTTTTATCATTTGGTTCGTTTTTAGAATAATTTGTGCAACATAGTTTGTTTTGCTAGCAAATTATAACAACTTTGTTATTTTCACTTTACTTCAGTTCTGTTTGACATTTAAGTTGTCTTTTTTGTTGAATGATTATTGTTCAACATTTCAATGTGCTATTATTATTATTACCATATCAGAAAACACAGTTTCTGAAATTAATAATAAATTAAAAATTCTAAGAAATCAAGATTCAAAACAAACATGGTGTACTTTGATGAAGGAAGAGAATGAGATGAAGACAAAGTATCTGTGAGGATGTCACTATTAACAATTATCGTGTCTGTCAATTTGTAATCTAGTAAGCACGTTATTGTAATTCATGGTTAAAGGTGAGAATCAATAGTAATTTGTATGTTTGAAAAGTAAAAACAAAATTTAGTTGTATCTATGATGCAGTAAACCAGTTATACTTTATGAGTTTTTTCTCTTATACCTCTGAATCACTGCAAGAAAAAAGGTATATAAACACAGCCGTTTGTATTAATAGGGGATTGTTTTACCTACGATTGTTGAACAACGGTCACAAAGTTATATTCACTATATTTTTATTTTATTTTTTTATTATTGTTGTTTCTCAATTGTTATCATTTTATAAAATTAAAATAGGTAAGGTAAATTATATTATGATCAAAGATAACTTTGATAGAGAGACACTATTGAAGATACACATATAGTAAAATAATATTAGCCTAAGTCTAACATTGCGCATATATAAGAGATAGCTTGTCAGGTGTATTGTATTGATTGAATATACAAATTTCATCTTATTCTCTCTTTCTTTCTCTATGTTTTCTCTTTCTTTCTAACTGTAACAGAATTCTGTTACACCATGATGAACCACCATGTTCATCTTCTCTAACTCTAATATGGTATCAATCGCCGCAAACGATCCTGTACCATTTCGTTATCAGTAACTTTATTGTGCTCTGCATCTTCTCCCTTGCGCTTTTCTGCAAAAGAATCAAAACATGAACCTGCTTCAAGCTTTCTTCAAGATCAACAATGGAGTCCGGCGATAATCAAGAATCAAGAGTCAAAGACTCTGTTGCATCGCACGACGGTATCACCGGTTTTGGCTCCATGAAATTGAGTAGTCGGTTTGGACCAAATCTCTTCATCCAGCTACAAGAAAACAACTACCTTCTTTGGAATCAACAAGTGGAAGGAGTTATCTTGACACAAAAGATGCATAGAGTCGTCGTTAACCCGCAGATTCCGCAAAAATACAATTCCACTCAGGATCGTATCACAAGTACAATCTCTGATGAGTATGAAGCTTGGTTAGTTCAGGATCAAGTTGTGTTTATCTGGTTGCTTTCCACCATATCAGAATCGATTTTACCTTGTGTGCTCGCGTGGAAGCATGCCTATGAAGTGTGAGACAAGATTCACAATACTTCATGGCACAAATGAAGGCTAGTGTTAGACAACTAAGGGTGGAACTCAAATCAACCAAGAAAGGGAGCAACACGATAACATAATTTATGCTCAAAATCAAATCTATAGCAAATTCCTTGTTAGTTGTTGGTGACACTATCACAGAACAAGATCAAATTGACGTCATTCTAGATGGTCTTCCTGAAGAGTACAACTCCTTTGTGATGCAGATGTATGGTACTCTTGTGTCTCCCTCTTTATGTGATGTTGAAGCACTTCTATATGTTCAAGAGGCTCAACTGGAGAAATTTCGTCAGGACCTATCAACCTGTAATGTTGTTGTAAATATTGCTCACACAGTTCATGACAATTCTAGCTCAAGAGGTGGTTACTCAGGTAGAAATGGCAGAAATAAGAGGCCCTCTAGAGGACGAGGCAGAGGTAGAACAAGGTCTCCCAATGGCAACATACCTACTTGTCAGTTATGTGGCAAATATGGCCATGATGTATCTTGCTGCTGGCATAGATTTGATGAGAATTTTATGCCTACCAATGTTGATGGAGCCTAAGACAAGCTAAGCAGCAGCACATGTCCTAGCCAAGACAAATCTGTAGACAATTCACAAAACTCTCAGGATGTAGCAATGATGGCCTCCACAGGCAAGTCTCTTGGCACTTCTCAGAAGTATTTCCTCCCTACAGAACTGGACTCCTAAGCATGTTTTGTGGACTCAGGTGCCTCCCATCACCTTACTCCATATGCTTTTCATTTGTAGAATTATAAGGTATATACAGGCCCTGACAAAGTTTATGTAGGCAATGGTCACACACTCACCATAAACTTTATAGGCTCCACACACTTGGCTCTCCACTTGTGCCTAAGTGCAAATTGACACTTAATGATTTCTTCATGTACCTGCTATAACTAGAAATCTCTTATTTGTTTCCAAGTTTTCACATGATAATAATGTTAGTTTTGAATTTCTATCTAACAAATGCTACATTATATCTCAGGCTTCTAAACAAGTTCTTGTTGAAGGAGTCCTAGATGTTAGTGGTCTTTACTGATTCCCTCTTCTACCTTTGGAGTCCTCCAGGTCACATCCTTTGAACACCAAATTGAACCAGTTTAAGCACATTCAAAGATATATTATTGTTCAGTCCAATTCTGATTGTCAATTTGATATTTCTAAGCCAAATAAATGTAATACTAGAATGTTGTGACATCATAGATTAGGTCATGCTAATTTCTCCTCTATTGCTCATATACTCAAATTGTGTAATATTCCTACTTCTAATAAACAAATTATTTTTTGCAAGTCTTGTAATCTTGGTAAAGCTCATAGGTTACATGCTCATTTGACACATCATGTATATAATAAAGCTTTTGATGTGATCTATACTGATCTTTGGGGTCCATCTCTCTCCCCTTCTAGTGCTGGCTTTAGATACTATATTGCATTTGTTGATGCTCACACTAGATACACATGGCTTTATTTTCTCAAACAAAAACTTGAGGCTCTAGGTGCTTTCAAACTTTTTCACATATTTGTTCAAACACAATTTAACCTAACAATTAAATCTGTTCAGTCTGAATTTGGTGGTGAATTCAGGCCCTTTACTAAATTTTGTGCTGATATTGGTATCACACATAGGCTGACTTGTCCTCATACCTCATATTAAAATGGTTCAGTTGAGAGAAAACATAGAACCATTGTTGAGATGGGTCTGACTCTACTAGCTCACTCTTCCATCCCTTTAACATATTGGGATCATTGTTTTTCTACTGCTGTATATCTAATGAACAGGTTGCCAACCTCTCCTCTGACTACACATCACTCACCCCTCCATCCCTTATATGGAAAACATCCTGACTACAAGACCATTAGAGTGTTTGTATGTGTATGATATCCTTTGCTCAGACCATATAATTAACACAAGCTTCAACTCAGAAGCCAGGAGTGTGTTTATCTTGGAGTCTCTCCCCAACACAGAGGATTCAAGTGTATGAGTAGCTCTGAGAAAGTTTATATCTCCAAAGATGTTACAATTAATAAGGAAGAATTTCCCTTCCCTCAGTTGTTTCCTTCCATCACTAAAGATGTTCTAGCTTCCAATGGCACACCTATTGCTTTTCCAACTAAGTCATCAACCAATTCAGCTGGCACATCTTCACCTCATCAGACATCAACTGTCACACCTATAGTCCTTATCTCAATAGATAAAATCATGGATCTTGCAACAGCT